TTCAGAAAAATCTTCTTGGGAAAAGCACACAGATGCTATTTTGCCAGTGCTGAAAATTTCATTACTAACTTATGGAAGGTTCCTGCCTTCCATGTATTGGAAGGATTTCACATCTGGAAGGAAGTAACTTTTGTATCATGAAGATGACATCTACTGTTACCATGAATAATTATGGTTTTGTCTAATTCTAATCCTTCTGAAAATTCCACACATAGTCATTAGAGATGCGTTGTAATTAAGCAAATCCTTTTCCCAATCCATTTCACTTTAAAGCAGGACCTCCCCTGCAGTTGCTTTTTCCATTTGCTTTTTCTCTTCTGTCCTGGAACCAAGGGCAGAGATCCTGTCTTTCTGGGGGGATTAATATCCTGTCAGATATTTCATCACTGATGAGGAAGCAGTCTTGATGAGCTCCCATGAGATAGAAGCTGGATTTGGAGGAGGTATGGAAGTGAGAGGCAGTGGATGGACCAGGCTGAGACTATGAGCTAACAAGAAGATAAGGGAAAAACAGGCTAATGGGAAAGAACTGTGCAGTAGAGGGACAGAGGAGGCCAGAGCAATAGAGGAGAAAATAATATCTTAAGAATTAAGAGGTGGAATGGCATCTATGCTCACAAAGTTGCTCCGCTACCCCTGCAGTCACAGATTCCCTGATGACAAACACTCTTCTGTTTGCTAGTAGATCACTGGTGACATGAAGAATCAGCATGAGTGTCCTGCCTCTGTGGTGCTGGTTATCAGAGCATGGCACAGAACAGTACTGAGATCACTTCATTTTCAGCTGGGTGATCTGAGCTGCAAACCTGAAGCCCCAGTTTTGCCAGTGGCCATTGTGGAAACCAGTGGGATTCTGTGCAATTCTGATATGGGCTGGCAAGGGAACAGTAGAAGCAAAGCCACTATAGTGTCATGCTCTGAACAGTCTTATTTTGCTCTTTAGGAACATTTCTGTATTTCATATTAATCCATGGTTTTAAGACTGGATTTCTATAACATGGAGTTATAGTCTAACAGGAACCTTACAAACTTTACCAGAGACAAATGTAAAGTTGTGTACTAAGCAGGGAATAAGCCTTGGCAATGAAACAGGCTGGGACCTGACAATTCTGCTGGAGATGGCCTGAGACAGGCAGTGGAACAGGTTGCCCAGGGAAGCTGGACTGTCTCTGTCCATGGAGGCTTTCAGGACTGGTCCAGATGAAGCCTTGAGCAATAAGCCTGACCTTGCCTTTGTCACTGCTTGCACATCTCTAGTTGGACTAGAGATGGCCTGAAGTCCCTTCTGACATAAACTTTCCTGCGATCTTATGATAATATGCTTAAAATTTATTCATCCAGGTCCTACAAAAAAGAGTGGGAACAGCTGGCAGTAAAATGAGATTATTGTCAGTGGGTTTGTGAACTATCTTATTCTTGGTATCTGAAAATGAGACTTCATTAACAAAATGTCACTTGCCTTTATTATTGCAAAGGTAACCTTTTGAAAATGAACTGACCATGAAATAACAGAGTAATTTCATCTAGAATCTGCAGATAATCTGAAATAATAATGCACAAGGGTATGAAATGCTTCTATTAATCTCTGTGGGATATTAGCAGTAAAGCCCAATGATGGCAATTTGTATATAAGCATTGTTAATAATTTAGTATTACTTAAGGTTCACAAAAGAGAGAGTCACATGTATTATTAAAAAATAATCTGTGAATGAGAGTTCTCTACTATAATTAACAAAATGGCTTTTACTCTAACAGGCATTCAGTAACATGTTACACTTAAACAACAAGAATGTAGCAACAATACATAAATCTTAAAACTATTAACTACTTTGGCTGAGGGTGTATCACCTTGTGGGTGGATTAATGGTGATTTTAGCCTCCCACTTCAGGGACTGCAAGCCTTATAAAGACTGTCCTTTAGGTTTATCCAGTTGTGGTAATTATTTGGGAGTTGAAAGGACTCATTAGCAGTCCCTTCTCATCTCCGATGCTGTTCTGTAAATTAGCCACTGGAAATTTCTTTAAGTGCCTTCGAATTCTTTCATTATCTAGCACAAAAGGTCATTTCACATAAAATCAAGTGCTCTGAGACCTGCTAATGTAAGGACATCCTGAACTCGTGAATCTATTAGATCTGTTTTCACAATCTGTTTTCACAATTGGGCGTTGTTTGTTTTTGAGGGCTGTCTACTGCTCACCAGATGTTCTCTGCTGTTATTTATCTAGTGACTGAATTTTTGTGGTCTTTTCCTCTTTTAGAGGTCCTCACAAAGTAAAAAGCCATCCTAGAGTAAAAAAGTCCCCGATCCTGTCTGTGCTTTGAGCTATGGTCATGTTTGCAGAGTGATAGCTTTGAAAATCAGCATCTCAGTACTACTTGTACAAACGCAGCACCACCATCTATCTGCTTGTGATGACTCTGTGTGAAATTGGGATCAGACTGTACTGCAATCATATTTTTCAACAAATATGCAAAATAAAGAGAAATTCTTTCTGTTTACAAGCACCAGATCCAAAGAGGGATAACTAACATTCCAAAATTTAATCTGCTCAAGGAAAGCAAGAGCCCTCACAATCTTTTGTAAAACCCTTTTCTCTGCACAGTTTACATATGCACTGTCACGATCTGTTTGTGGGTACTGTGGGACAAAGCCAGCTCATGTGAAAACTTGTGCTAGGAACTGTTGTCAAGCTTGAAATGCCTTGTGTACCCATCAAATATATTTAAAAGAAAGAGCCTTTAGTTAAAGATGAAACCCTTTTTTAATCAGTCTGAACAGAATTTACTTTCCATCTCTTACTGACTTTCTACTTGCTCTGCAATTCATCTCATGGTTCAGCTTTCTGACTATTTTTTCTGTTGTATTCCTGAGTTACAGGTGTGAGCCACAGGGAGACAGAGAGCAGCAATCCCTGCTGGAAATGGCTTGGGAATACCATGGAGGAAGCAGGAGCATTGGTGAGATTTTGAGGACGGAAGAGTGAAAGATGAAGTGCTAAATCTGAGACTGTGGCTGCTAAAATGAGCTGCTGAACATCAGAGAGCAGGAATTACTGCATTTCCTGAGAGTGCTGCAGAACCTCTGAGCCTTTTATTTCTAGTAGTAGAAATCCACATGGGTCTCAAGAAGTGTTAAAATAACAGGTTTTGAAAGCAACAGTTTTTCATAAAGGCAAAAATATATTTTATATGTATAAAATATGTATCTTGTGCTCTGTGTTTATCTGTCTTGCCCATTCCAGGTCCCCTGAGCAGATAATGCTGCAGTCTCAGCTCCCACACCCCCACCCTCAGCTCCCTCCATCCTGGCTGCTGTGCTGTACATCATTTCAGAGGAGCACAGCTGGGTGCTGGACTGTAATTTCTCCTGCAGCTCAGATCAAGTCCATTAGTTTATTTGAAGGTTAGGACCAAGACCATGGAAGTGCATGAGGAGCTAATAGACAGACCGGTGTTCCTGCTGTGCTCACGGGGGCTTAAACCAGCGAGAAAATAGTCAGGCACATCCATATTATTTTCACCTTTTGCTTCATGATTTGCAGTAGTCTCATTCATAAATGACAAAGAAACAGCTCCCTGCTGTGAGGTCCTCATACCACAGAGAGCTGTAATGAGTTTGTAACGAGATGGAGATAAGGAAGATTTTTTGTGATTACTCAGACAAATCTCTGAGTGCAAATCAGAGATGTGCTGAGTGAGGGGTATGTCTCTCCATCACTCTCCATGGCTTAAACATCTGAGGATACTTAAGGTATTCTCTTGGTATTATGTAAGAAGAACTCAGTAAGACAAAAATGTTCTAAATGCATCTTTATGGATTTCTTGCCTTCTCTGTATGTCAGAATCTTTTGTAATTTGACAACCACGAGCAGTGATTAATGGCTAGCAATATGGCTAGGGGCAATGTATGTTTCAAAATCAGTATCAGGAAAGCCTCTGTGATCTGGGAAGTCTTTGGCTGTGGAACTGTCTCCTTGCAAAATCAGAAACAAGTGTTTTGCCTGTGTGCTCCTTGAAGAGCTCCAAATAAATAGCTGGAATATTAATGAAGATGAGTGAAAAACAGGGGAATATTCACCTTGGAGTGTGGTGCTAAACTGAGATTTAAGGGTTGTTTCTGTTTCAGTCTTTTATGATAGCTATAGTGAATTTATATTTTTCATATGTATGCATATATATTTGTGGAGGTGTATACATATAAGTGCTCCAGAAATAAATGTTTTGTTTTCATTTCCTTGGAAGCATCAGGTGTTTTCTGTGTTGAATCTTAGCACGGGTAATATATATCCAGATATTAAAGTAACCATGGCAAAATAAATAAATAAATATTGCCAAAGATGACTCCTGTACTTCATTCACTGTTCTTTTCAAAATGTATGGTTATGAACAAACCATTTACATCCATAAGTATATGCTCTACAGGATTTCTGGCACAAAAAATTAAAAGGTTAGAGAATTACAATAAATAGGTTTACTGCATCCCTGTATAACATAAATCTCATTTCTATTTGCCATGTCCTGTCCTTCTTAATTAAAATATCAGACCACACGTACAGACTGGAGCAGCTCAATTATGAAAAGGTTAGATCCATCAGTTTATTCCTGATTGGTTTATTAATTGCTGGCCTTGACTCTTGATTCCAATCAACACTCTTTTCTCAGGATAAAAGTGGTTACTATGTTACAAAAAATATACTGTATTTTTAAACACAAATATATTGGAAACATTTACAAAGAAAGCTTCCACTGGACTTGGCTTTGATGGAATTATGTTCTCTTGTGCCATGAAGTCTGACTTTCACAGGTGACCACTGGCAAATTTCTAAACAGTGTTGTTACTGAATCCCTTTAATCCATAAAATGAGTGAAAAAATTGCTGTGAGCTGAAATTCTGTTTCAGTTTTGTAAGGATGTTTCAAATACATTACTTTCATCCATGGTTTTCAAGATATTTTTAAATGGGACTTCTGATAGTTCTGTGGTATTTTCTCATCGGCTGCGTGAGGCGCTGCCCGGCCCCGGCTGCGTGAGGCGCTGCCCGCTCCGCTCGCCGCGCCGGGGGTCGCCGCTCGCCCGCTCCCTCACGGCACCTCCCGCCCCGCGGAGGGGGGCGCGCAGGGCTCTCCCCGCCATGGCCTTCACCTTCGCCGCCTTCTGCTACATGCTGTCGCTGGTCCTGTGCGCCGCCCTCATCTTCTTCGCCATCTGGCATGTGAGTACCCCAGCCGCGCAGCCCCCGCGCTGCAGGCGGCTCCAGCCCCGGTGTGCAGGGTCCCGGTGCCGTGAGGGAGCGGGGCGGGCTGAGGCGGGCGCTCGCAGCCCCTGGCCCGGGCAGCCGGGGCGCAGCGTCCCGCGGTGGGGCCAGGGCGGGCGGGGCTGGCCGTGGTCCCTCTGCGTGGGGGACGGTGTTTATCGCCCTGCTGGGAGCGCAAGGAGCCGCGGCCGTGGGTCTGTGGGGGCCCGGGGTCCGTGGCAGCCCGGTCCCCGCTGGTGGCGGCTCAGCGCCGGCCGTGCCCCGGCGGGAGCTCTCCAGGTAACCTCGTCTGCTTCTCTCGCCTGCGAGCAGAGCGATGTGGCCGGGAAACCGCCCCGTGTCTGATGAGGCAGATAACGGTGTTTTCCCTTAATAACTTCCTAAAAAGTTGGATGAGGAACTCTGTCGTCCTTCTGATACATGACCCGCGTATTGTGGTCCAGCTTGGTTGATTTAACACCACAGGGTTGGTGCTCTTTCCTTACTGTTTGCTGGGTGTCTGTGGTAGGCGTAAACGTGTAACTCAGAAGATGTGAGATCATTCTAATGCATAACTTGCAATTCTTTTGAACTGTTACATATTTTAGAATTAATTACACTTCGTGCGTGCTGCACGATAACTCCGTGCTGTAAGCATTCAGGATGGAGCAGGATAACCTGGAATATAGAGCGAGTCTCACGGATGCTTCTACAGCTACCTGATGGAGTATGATTAAAAGAAAACCCTCCTTTGAGTAACAAGCAAAGAATTTATTCTTTGCTTGTTACTGGAGCTGCAGAATTTATTTTTATTGAAATGGAAGTAAAGCTTCTAGCTTAGCTGTATTTGCACTCTGAAAGAAATCCTTCTGTTGGAAGAATGCTTTGAAATTTAATTATTTTGTACTCTTCGTGGGACTGTTACAAGTTCTTTTTTTAATATTTTTTTATTAAGGAAACCACAAAGGTGTGATGGTAGTGCTGCTGTGATGTCAAGCACTGCAAGGCTGGAAAGGTTCTCTAGCAGCCAGCTACTGCACTACTCTGAAAAAAGGAGTAGTAAAATTTAGATTATTACTCATGTTTTCTCTCCTCCTCTTCTGCAAACCTTTAGGTCTCCAAAAGTGAGAATTCCACAGCTTCCTCAAGGGGCTTAGAGTTAGAAGTGTGTTCTCCTTTGAATCTCTAGCTACAAACTGAACTGCAGCAATTTTAATGGTTGTTTTATGTGTTTGAAGTCTGTCACTGTGTCCTCTTTTTCTGAGTCTGGAGTTGATGTCATGTGAATTCATAAAGGACTTATAGCAAATCTGGCAAATAATTCTCCCATAAATGACTGCAGTTACTGCAAATTTACTCTTAGTGAAACATTTTTTTAACTTTCAGTCTATAAACTTATGAAGAGCAATCCCTCAGTACAAGAGCTCTTTAAAGGCAACTAGGAAAGAAAACCTTTTCTTGATACACATACGTTTATGCTGCATGTTTCTTACATCTGTTAAAAATTGTTGAGGGATTGAAATGGAAAATGGCTGGAAATGCTCTTCTGTTGTAAGAGAGAAAGAATTGGCACTATCTTTTCTAGTAAATAGAAAAATTCTATTAAAATCCATGGTTTGTGAAGGAAAGTCATGGAATAACAGATTTAACACCCTGCCAAAATAAACTTTTAGGCGTCCATGTCATCCACATACACAGAACACAAGCGTTTTTATTGTCCTTTCTCTAAGAACTGGTGCAGTCTGGTTTCTTCTCTAAGTTATGTATTGAGTCATAGGAGCTTCTTTCACCTCAAACATCTCAGTAGTGAAAATCTTCCCAAGAAACAAAACTCCTACTCCTTCCCTGTGACCTGATTTTTCTTCCACTATAATATCCTGGTAAGGGACAGTAAATATATTGGACATAGGTTCTAATAATGGCAGAGGAGTGTTCCAATAATTATATTGTTCTGTTTATTTTTTTAAGACATTCTGCTGCTAAGAATAAGTTGATAAATAATCTGAGTGTCCTCTCACTTTGGAAGATTTCTGAGAACAAGAATTTATATTTTGTAAATTATATTAAAGGATGAGAAAAAACTGTAGCATTTCGACTTGATATTGTTCTAACCTGAAGCTGAATGAGGTTTGGGCATGTGTCTGGAATGATTTAACAGAGAATCAAATAAAACTTCATTTTCTTCCTGCTGGCAAGTCAGATGAATTATGAGTTTCATTCATATTGATCTAATAAGTTTAATAAAAACTGTACAACCAAAACAAGAGTGTAAGATGAGCATTTTTATTTTTGGGCACTGTGCTTTTCTGGTACCTTTCCTCTACGAAGTTAGACTGTCTGTAAATTCCTGTGCTCCTTACTCTTTGGAAACAGATAGAATGAAGCTGGTCAGAGCATTTTAAAGGAATTGTAAACAAAATGCACACAGTCCTCCAGATACCTGGAATATATTGTAATTTTTTTCCTGCCTCTGAGTGATTTTCTTGTATAGGTAGCCAGAGGTGTCTGTAATACAAAAAACCTCCCAACGAAACCAAATTAGATATTATCATAAACATTTGTTTAAACTCTGCACAAGAATTATCCTAATGTATTATTGCTGCAATTTAATTCATATATATTAAATGGAAGAAAAGGACTTGAAAATCTTCATGCAGTACATTAAACCAATGTGACACTCTGTGGTGCAGGAATTTTTACAGCATTTAGGTTGTTCAGTGACCACACTACCTTTAGCTGAATGTCACAGTATTAGAAACACCCTATAGAAGTGCGTGATACAACTAACAGCAGAATTTGCTCTACTAACTACATAATTTGATATTCTCATCTGATCTTGTTGTAAGCTCAAGGACAGTGCTAGTCTTCCTCCAAACTATCACAGGCATTTTGTTTTGCTGTCCTCAGCTCTTTTTCTTCTTTATGTACATCTTTTTACTAATCAGTTTTATCCCATTCCTGAATGATCTTGAACTAAGATTTTAGCTTCTTATTTATGTTGAACTGAGCCGTATCAAGTCTGTTTGAACTCCCAACAAGACTTGACACACCACATTCATTTCTAGTGTAGCTCCACTGAGTTGTGTCTTGAGTGAAGTTAACTGAAGCTGACCAAGCTGTGCCTTATTTCTCCTCAGTTAGAAAGGGATATGCTTGTGTTGAGTCCTGCAGCACTATGTTCTCTTAAAGCATATTGGTTTTGAGTAATCTGAGTCCTTCCCTTCTGGTGATATTTTAAGATGAAAGGACTTGCTTTGAGATTTGTTATTTAAAGGAAAGGTATAAGAAAAGAGCTTTTCAAAGTGGTCCATCTTATAAAACCACGGCAAAACAATTCATAAGTACCAAGAACATTACTGTTAAAAACAAATTAATTTCTGGGGTGGGACATCTCTTTTTCACGTCCTACAAGCATATCTTTGCATGTGACTGCTTCATAACCTAAGGATTGCCAGAAAGTATCAGGGGTATCGTGCCAGTGAAAAAATTGGCAGTGCCAGTCTGAGAAGTTTTACCACACTGGATGCTTTTTGGGGTATTTTGATACAGTTGAGAATGCAGATGAATCCAGGAACAGACCTTTGGCACAACAAGAGTGGCATGTGTTGAAAGTGATGGCAGCTACTTGAGCCAAGCATAAGAAGAATAAAGCAACAGAATGTGAAAACCCAGGGCACTGGGAATATTTCTCTGTCTGCTTTCGGGTGCCCAGATCCCCAGGGGAGCACTGACTTTGACCCTCATTCATGGAGAAAGTTTCCTAGACTTCAAGATAGACTAGAATCCACAAAAGTGTGAAATAGATTACAGAGAGTAGTGTAGGTGTATCACTTGGGTGAGAAATTTAGGTTTTTGGGATTTTTAGTATGTTGTGGCACAGGGTCATCCTGGGTTTCTTCTTCTTCTTTCCTCTTCATGGGTTTGGGTGGCATTTTGTAATTGGGCAGAAAAGTTCACATTGTGGAAGCTGCTGAACTCATGGTTGTGAGACTGTTTTACTGCTAAGAAATAATAAACACCTGAGTCTGAACATGAACTACTGTTTCAAGTGCCTTTAATCCAGCCCCAGAGAAACTGACAACTGGGACTCCCACAGCAGAAGATGGAGCTTTTTTTGGTTTATGCACCACCCCCCCACACCTTATTTGTCTTTTGAAGTGTGAGGATAGTATTAATCTTGATAAACTACCTTAATATGACTTTGGCTTCACTTAAAGTTACAAGTTCACAAGTATAATTACAAACACTGGTAGGCTGTGACTGAGCACAGTAATATAGGCTAAGATTGACTTGTAGTTTTCATCAAAGCATTCTTTTTTTTTTTTTTTGGCAAACACCAGGGAATTAAGCCCATATTATCTATATTGAGTGTTGTTTCTGATAATGGCTTTGTGTGTTATGTTTGTCAGATACCTTGAGTTATCTATGGGTTGTTTTCTCATTTGCTAAGTGTGAGTAAGGGAACTAAACTGCAAGTACTGCCTGTCACTTTATTTAAGACTATTCCTAAAATGTCTTTTCTTTCTGACAGGAGGTGCTATACACATGTAAGATGTTGCCACTTCTGGTTTTTGTCACTGTAGCATCCTAGTGATGTGGACTCTGTTTTACTAGCACTCAAGTTTCAATAGCTCAGGTAAAAAATTCAAAAGCTCTCCAAGAGTTATGGATGTAGAATTTGATGAGTATTTGGTTTCTGACTTACTTAGGCTTCCTCATAAAAATCCTAGCCTAATTTTTGATAAATTGTACAGCCTTAATTTTGAAGATACATAAAAAGCACATAAGCTTGGCTTGATAGCAAATTCAGTTGAGCAAAACACTTTGGTCACAAACTGCTGATCTATCAATGTTCTCTGTGTGTCTGTGACTTATTGTTTCTGTAATTTAGGTTTAGAGGAGGGCTCTGCCCTACCTGAAACCTGTAAAGAGATCTGTGATCTGACTTGAACCTGTGCTTCTCTCTGGTGAAGGCTATC